AAAAACCATATGATCATCTCAATAGATGCAGAAAAAGCTTTTGGCAAAATTCAACACCATTTATGATAAAAAAAAAAAAAAAAAAATCTCACAAAGGCCCTGAACGGTAGATTCGACCTCCCCTACCCAGTCACCTCCTTGGCCTCCCCTTCTCCCATCTCCTGCCCTCTGCCCCCATATTCCTTATTAGAGAGGCCTTCCTCCCAGACCACCCTAATTAAAAAAAGAAGATTGGATTCCCCCTTCCCAGGATTCTTTATCCTCCCCAACCTGCCTGATGTTTCTCTTAGTTAGTACCTGCCACCTTGTATCATTCTATTTATTTTACTTAATACTTTTTTTTGGGGGGGGGGGAGCGGTGGCCATGCCTCGTGGCATGTGGGATCTTAGTTCCCCGACCAGGGATTGAACCCACGCCCCCTGCATTGGAAGCGCAGAGTCTTAACCACCGGACTGCCGGGGAGGTTCCAATACTTGTTTTTTAAATGTGTCTTGACTATTTGTGGGATTTTTTTTTTTGTTCTGGTCTGTCTCCTCCTCCTTTCCCCAGCCCCTGTGGACTGTCAGCGTCCCGAGGGCAGCAGCTTGTCTTGTGCATTGCTGTCCTGCCAGTGCCTGGCCTGCGCTAAGATGCTCGGTAATTCTTCCTTGAAATAAAGAATGTACAGGACACAGAGACAGGCATATGGGCGGCCTGACCATCACGTTCTCACACAGACTCAACGTGGAGAGACACTAAGAGACCTGGAGACAAACCTGAGGGCAGGGCCCCACAGTCCCAGACACCCCGACTGATGGTCAGGGATGCCCACCAGGCCCGGCAGGCAGGCCCCCGAGCGTGCCGAGCGTGGGCACGCGCACCAGCCCTGGCACAGGAAGTCTGTCCCAGGTATGGTCTTGACCGGCCCCACATCCTTGGTCATGGACACAGGAGATGCACAAGTAGGCCAGGCCTGCTGTGACCGGACAAGTCACCCCAGAGGTGGCCCTGCCACAGCTCCAAGACCTGGCTTCACCTGGGGTCGAGGAGATCGGGGAGGGGAAGGGTACGACCTTGGGGACTTTGCCCCCGCCTGTGCCTCACTCTGCCCTGATCTGGAGAACAAGGAAAGGTGCTGGGGCCTGAGACGCCTCTGTGGAAGCCCCCCTACCTGGTGGGTTGGGGCAAGGCTCCCAGGGGGCCAGAGAAGCCAGGGTCAGCAGGTCAGGCCTTGGGGCGCTGCTGGGGTGGGGGGTGGGCAGCGTGTGCGTGACCTGCTTTGTCGCCCCCAGGAAGGCCCTGCCCCTCACCCTGGCTGCCTGTTACCGGGTTGCTATTCATGGGGGGAGGGAGGGGGGGCGGTCGTCTGGGCAGTGCCACCCATCCCCCTTCTAGTCACAGCCTCAGCCTCTGCTACAGGCCCCTCGGGGGCCTGAGCTGTCCCAGAGGTGGGTCCTGGCTGCCTCCTACCTCTGGGCGTTTGTGTCGGTCACAACCCTGAAAAGCTGCCTGCCCCTCTGCCGCCCCGCTCTTGGAATGTGCCTTCCAGTTTCCACCCGTGGCATCCCTTGCCTCCGGCCAGTGGGGGGCTCTCCCAGGGCTCGGGGGCTCACTCACCATGGCTGCAGGCGGGTGACGGGCCACAGGGCGAGTGGGACCTGAGCCAGGGTTGCTGCCTTCAGGAAGTGACTGTAGCTTCTGCTCCACGGGCCCCACGGGGTGGGGTCTACTGGCCAGGCGGGAGGGCAGAGGAGGAAGGGGAGGAGGGGGGACAGCCCCAGCCTGTCTTCAGGTCCTGCTGGGAGCTTCTTGAATTCCTGTTCTGCGCTGTGCTTTGTGCATCATTTCTCAGCAGACACCCAACGGTCACTCGTTTCTCGACTCTGCTGGCCCCCTCTCCCCCGCCCCATGCCCTGCTGTGTGCTGACCTCCGGACTCCAAGACGGACTCATGCCAGGCCCTGAGGACCTCCTGCCGACAGAGGCAGGCCAAGGCCAACTCCTCCCAGGGCCTCTGTGGGAGGGGAGTGGTAGTTCTCAGCGGGGAAGGGGCACGGCCAGTTCTGGGCCGTGAGACCCCAGGAGTCGAGCGAGCGAGCCTGACGGGTGAGGCCCTCCTGCTGGCTCTTGTTGCCTCAGTCCGCCTTCCTCATTTCAGCACTTCCTTGTAGCCTGATTTCCAGCTCAAAGCAGGACTTAGGACTTCCCTGTTACAGGGGCAACTGTAACACGGGCCGAGGGCCCAGGTGGGATGGCACGTTTGGTGGTGGGTGGGTGGGGAGTGTCCAAGGCTCCCAGAGGACAAGAAAAGGAGGAAAATGGGGACAGCTGGGAGGCCAGCAGAGGGGGGGTGAAGGTGGTAGGCAAGATTAGAGCTGTGAGGGTGCAGGGTGCGAGGCCAGACAAGGGAGACCCTGATGGCAGGGCTCGGTCCCCAGGAGGTCAGTGTCCTCGGGCTCATAGAGAAAGGGAGAAAACACCCAGTGGGAGAGTGCAGAGCCCTGATTCTCAGTTCGGCTATGCCACCGGGATCCTTTGAGTTCACAGAAAGACAGAAGCTCCTTGCGATTCTGACTTAGTTGGTCTGGGGTGTGGCCTGAGCCTGGGGGTTTCTTACACACCCTCAGGGGGATTCTAGTGTGCAGCTGAGGAGCACTGGTGCCCACAAGTCACCCTGAGACCCCGAGAAAGTGTGGGTTGTGCCTCGGGTCAGGTGGGGCCTCAGATTCTGAAACATCCCAGGTGATGCCCATACTGCTGGTCCAAGGATCACAGCAAGAGTAACAAAGATGTATTGAAGTCTCCAGAAAGATCCACATGAGACAGGGACGGAGGCTGGGCATGGCATTCCCAGCAGAAGCCCTTCACTCGCCTCTGCCATGAAGGCCACAGACTGCAGTCGGCAATGACTCTGCCTGTGTCTGCTCTTAAGAGCACAGCTTGGGGATTCTGGAGCCTCTGTGCCTGTGCATCCCTGTCCTTGACCGGACAGACATGCACTCTGGGTCACATTTCCGGATGTTGGTCCGCCTCCGAGTAGGAGGCTGGGGATGATGATGAGGTCTGGGTCCTGGAGCGGCTCAGCCTGTTCAACGTGAGCCTGCAGTCTCAGGCCAACCTGCCCCCTCTGGGGCAGCTGTGTAAGGTGGGTGCCTGCTTGGATGCGCCGGCCCCTCATTCATTCTCCCTTCAGACCGACACTCTTGGGCGCCCTCTGCTGGGCGGAGCCGGGGCCCTAAGAGGACTCAGCTTTCAGGCATCCTGGAGTTGGCATCCTGGGTGGAGGGACCCTCTGTGGGGCTCCCAGCTTGGTTGGCCAGAGGGAGGTCAGGGGCTGCAGGAGCGCAGAAGGGACAGTGGGAACAGTAAGACTTCCAAGGCGACAAAGGTTGGATGGGAGTTGGGAGGGGGTGAGGGTAGGGGTCAGTTTTCAGAATGACCCAACTCCCTAGGCCTCAGGGCAATTTCAGCTTGCTCCAGAGGGCAGCGAGGGGCCCAGGGGGGACTGTGGACCCACTGTACCCATGGGAAGGGGCCGTTGCATCTTTGTGGGTGACATGGTTGAGGGGGGGCGGCACCTGGACCAAGATACCTGGGTCTCTCTGGGAAGGTCCTGACAGACGGAAGTGGCACTGCCTAGATTCGGGGGTGCCTGAATGAGGGGCTTGATGGGGAAAACTCCAGGGGCTGGGGGACCCTGGTACCCTGGAGATGGAACACCAAGCCCTGAAGATGCAGGAAGGGGTAGGCCTAGAGCCGTATTCCCAAGGGTGTCTAGGGGCCTTGTGAGTGCAGGAAAAGGGGAGAGTGCCCTTTGGGCCTTGCCGCCTGGGTTTTCTCATCAGTGGTAACTGCCCCGCTTCTGGGGTGGTGCAGAATCGGTGACTTGGAACCGGGCCCGGCTAGAGTCAGGGCTCAGTGAGCTTACCCTCCTAGCCTCACCTCTATCTGTAAAGTGGGCCCCTTGACCCACCTCCTCCCCAGGTTCCTGAGAGGGTCCCAGGCAGCCGGCCACAGGCTTGGTGGTTGGAGTGATGTCAACCACCTGCGAACATTTCCCAAGCCCCCTCCCTTGCTCCCCATCCCTCTTTTGAATCCTCACAAGAACTCCAAAGGATGAGCATTCATGACACTCATTTTAAGGAGTAAGAAACTGAGATGCAGAGAGACTGAGTCTTTCCCAGGATCACCCAGCTGTGGTTCCAAGGCTTCTGGCTGAGAAGGGGGAGGGGAGCTCACAGGGGGCCTGAGCCCCAGGGTTCCCTGATGGCCCATCTGGCCCTACAGCAGGTGCTCAGTGACAGCCGCTTCAGCTGCAACCCCATCAAGGACACTGGAGCCCTAAAGCCCCTTGTGAGGCTGAGGGTAGTGGGGCAGGAAGGCGGGCAGGCCGGCTCCTGGGTCCAGGTGGGACAGGTCCAAAGCGTGCCCAGATCTCCCTGTTGCCCTTCTCAGGAGAAGCTGAAGGGCCTTCAGAACTTGGAGCTGTTCAACTTCGAGGAGTCACAGCAGCTGCGCTAACGGAGCAGGATTTTGAGTCGTTACCCGAGCTTGGCTACCTGGATGGCTTCGATGCTGGGGACGTTGCTCAACTCTGAGACTGAGGCCAACATGCTGGGGGACGAAGATTCTGAGGAGGACTAGGGGGAGGATGGTAAGGGGGGCGAGGGGAAGATGGGAGGCTGGTGAGTGAGGGGTGTGAGGCCTGGGGACTCCACCCAGGGGGTGACTAATGTCTTGCTGGCCACAGATAAAGGACAACTCTGATGACTTGGAAGATGGAGGAGATAAGGAATGAAACAGGGTGGGGTAGGGCTGGGGACCTGGTCCTTGGGTTCTTGCTCACAGGATGTCTATGTTCCCCAGGAGGAAGAGGAGAGAGATGCTGAGTGTGGTCCTGAGAAGAGGAGGTGGAGAGGTTCAAGATGGGGCCTTGTGGGCTACTAGGAGAACAGGATCTTCATCCAGAGAGCTGAAGGGAGCTGTGGGGAGCGGTGGGGGTACTAGGCAGGGGAGGAGCACAATTGGAAGAGTTCCCTGTTTCCAGAGGTGTTCAGACTGGGGGGAAGGGCAGGGGGGTGGTTGCCTCCGGTACTCCAGAATGGGGGCGGCGGGGGGGCCGGCGGGATTGAAGCCTGGGCTGGAAGGGAGCAAGATGCAGGAAGTAAAGCCGGGCCCCGAGGGGTGGCTGCCAGCAATGCGTGGGACTTCCATACCCTGGAGGCTTGACCCTCAGGGTTCTGGTGACAGCAGTGTGGTACCAGATTTTGAACTCTGGCCCCAGCCTGACTTCCCAAGAAGGAAAGGAAAAAGAGGACCTATATGGGGGAGAGGTGAGAAGGGAGGAAGCCCAGGCTCCCCAGGGCTGGCCTTGACCCACCCTCCTCCTCAGAGCTGGGGCAGGGGGAGGAGGGGAAGTGGGCAGCCGAAGACAGTGAGGAGGAGGATGACGATGAGGCCTGACCTCCCGCCTGCCAGAGTGCCCAGCCCTGGGGGCCCTAGCACCTCCCTTCTACTGCTGGGACTGCCCTACCACCCTGTCACCTCCCTGAGAGTCAGTGCATGCCTCAGGACCTGGGGGGCTGCAGCTGGGCGGGTGCTCCTGACTCCTGGAAGTTTTTAAATAAAACTGGAAAACTTCCGTCTCAACTGGTTTCTGGAAGTGGTGGGACAGGACAGAAGACCACCTACAGCTGTCCCACTGTTGAGGTTGACAGGGAAGGTGGGACACGGGTGGGCTGTGAGGGGGAGGCCTGCCCCCTTCCGAGGTGGGAGCGCCCCAGGACTGCACTGGAAGGGCATGGGACCCAGACACAGCACAGGCTGGCTCATCTGCCTCCTTTATTGTCCCGCCACCCCGCCCATCGCAGGCCCCCCTAAAATTACAAAACTACCCACAGCCCACCCGCAACACGGCGTGGTTCAGAGCGGCGAGAAAACCGGACACTCCCCCTCTGACAGCAGCGGCGACACCTTGGGTGCCAGCGGGGCCGGGTCTGGGTGGAGCAGAGGAGGGGGCGCCTGAGCCTCAGCCCCGCCCCTCGCCTCAGGGCCCCCGCCCTCCCCACCCGCGCGCTCCCGGGCCTTACCCGCCGGCGCGTCTGGGCGCGGCTGCCCGGGCGCCAGGGCCGCGGGGGCGATGGGGCGGTGGTCCTCCAGGTGTAGGGTCATGGCGGGCCGCGAGGCCGTGGAGAAGGCGCACTGCATGCACGAGTAGCGGCCGCGCGTGTGCTCCCACACGATGCGGCTAGTGGCCGCGTGCCCTGCGGGCAGGCGGGACCCCGTCAGCCCTGGGCCCTGGGCGAGGGCGAGGACCGGGGCGAGGGCGGGTCGGACCTTTCTCCCCGCCTCCCCCTCAGCTCCCAGGCGCCAGGGCTCTGGAACGGCTGATCCCTTTCTCCCGGGCGTTTCCCCATGTATTTGGGGGCACCAAACTTGACTTATCTGCGTTCCCCTCTCCCATCCTCTAAACCAACGTAGGGGAAAGGACTCGGGAACCGGGTGAGAGTTTTACACGGAAACGCCGGCGCAGATAAAGAGCAGGGGCCATAATTTTTTAAGGCAAAATCCTGTATTTCGGGGGTGACATTTCTGGCCACCTGGGAAGGGGGTGGGCACCGCTGCCTCCCAGTATCCCCTATGCCCCGCAGCGGAGAAATCCCCTCCACCCTCCCCGGTGATCACCTGCACGCACCTGAGGGCGTATCGGAGCCGCCCTGGGGTCTTCGCGGGCTGCCGCCGGCACCTGCGGTAAATGGGCGGGTCAAGGTCAGTAGTCAGAGGGAGCCCAGCCCACCGTTCAGGCAGCCCTGCCCCCACACTCACCTTGGCTCTTTTTCCAGACTGCGGCGCTGGAGGCGGGCTGCCCGGGAGCGGCGGCCAGAAAGGGGCGCGGGCGTGGGGGGCTTAGGCCAAAAGGCGCGGGGTTCAAGTAGGGCAGTAAGGGCCCGGTGGGGGCAGGGGGAGGGGTCGTGAACGGCTCCCGGAGCC